TTTTTGGGCTCAAAAATCCTCCAAAACAGAAAATTTATTTTTCCCCTGACACTTTTCCCTCCGTGTTAGAAACATCACTTGGGGAAAAGAAGAGCCCGATTTGCTGGGGAAACCATATTTCTTAAACCCCTAGCCCGCTGAAAAAAGGCAAAGAAATGGCCAAATTTCCCAAAAATTTCCCCCCTGGCTCCCCCGAAATTTTTTTTTTTTGGTGCCAGGGCCATGGAGAAACCCCTTCTCTCACTTTGGGCCCCACCAGTTTCTCCTGCTTGATTTGAAGCTGCTTTGAATTTATGCGTATAAAAAAAGTAGAAAAATTTGGGGTCGTAAAAACGTATTTATTCGTCGGAACCCTTTAAAGGGTTATTTTAGGGGGGAAGGTGAGTATATTAAATTTTATAAAGCCAGTGTAGGGGGTAGCCTGGGCTACACCCACCCGGGTACCTACACTGTGGCCCCGAAACCATTTAAATTTAAAATCGACATGCCTTTTTCAGGGTTTTAAAACATTTTTAACAAAATACCTTTAGATGCCCCTCATAAACAAAGGGAGAAACCAAAGAATTTTTTTCATGCCCCAAAATTGTAAACAAAAGCGGAGTGGGGGAGTGGCTGGGGCCAAAACGCAGATTCATACACCCTTTTTTCTGATGGCTGGGGCAAAAAAAACGTAAAAAAGGGTTTCCCCCACCCGGGCCCCCAAATATTTTATCAAAGGCAAAATAAATATGCAATAAAAAGCCCCAAAAAAGTTTACATAACTTATTTTAAATTAGGGAAAAGAAAAAAGGGGATTTTTAAAAAAACAATAAAAGGTAAGATACAACCCGAGTAAACTTTTTACTTTCCCTTTTAAAAAAATTAATATTAATGTGTGAGAGGGATGGCAAGGTGTTTATTGAATAAAACCCGAATGGCACACCCTCATCCCCAACTTGGCACTTAAAGCAAGAGGGGTTATTAAATTCCTTTTTTTACAGCTAACCTTAGACACCTTGTCCAAAGAGAGCCAACCCCCGTTAACGAAAAGTTTAAAGGAGAGAGAAGGAGGGTTTCACAGTTGGGGACAGTGTAAAAAACAAACTGAACAGGTATGGGCGATCACTTGGTCAGGCGAAATGCGTATTAATACAGTGGACCCCCACATAACGATTACCTCTGAATGCGACCAATTATGTAAGTGTATTTATGTAAGTGCGTTTGTACGTGTATGTTTGGGGGTCTGAAATGGACTAATCTACTTCACAATATTTCTTATGGGAACAAATTCAGTCAGTACTGGCACCTGAACATACTTCTGGAGTGAAAAAATATCGTTAACCGGGGGTCCACTGTATGTGTCTACTTTTAGTTCATTCACGTCCATTTGTAAGAGTTCATAAAACATTTACCTCAATATTTTTTTATTTTAATAATACTTACCTCACAATACAAATACTCTTTCATTATGTACAAGTTGTACAAGTTAGTTCAGAATAAACAGACAGCAACACACCATTTTTAGAGTGAATGAAGATAATAATATTAATAATAATAATAATATTATTATTATTATTATTATTATTAATATTATTAATAATAAAAATAATAATAATAATAATAATAATAATTATAATTATTATTATTATTAATTATAAAAAGCACTAAACCCACAAGGGTCATGAATTGCTGTACATAGAGTAAAGGCATACGAAAAGAATATTTTTCTACAGTTACCCCCCAGTGTTTGACTAGAGAAAACGTAATTCTTCCGAAACTAACTACACAGCTGCTTTGTAAACAAATCTCATATTTACATCAATTTTTATTCTGAGTGTATGTATCATGTTTATATGCTATGTAATGGGTTTCATATATAATTTTGAAGAAAATATCATAGATGGATTAATGAAAATACCTATATTGATGTAAAATAAGACATTTAGTGTGCCCAAGAGTGATTATTATTACGTAGTATTGGCGTCATGAGTAGAGACACACTTAGCAATTTTAATGTGTACCTGCACACCAGCACAGTGTGTAAGTATATTTAAGTACAGGTACACATAAGTATAATTATCAGAGTACATATAAAATATGCAGTAACTTTAAAACACTTGAAATTTTGGAAAGTTTCCTGACATAATAGATGTGGTCACGGAAAATGTAAACAAACCGGGTGGGGGCGCCGTATTTAAAGGACCGTTTGCTGTATAGCAAATTTTGGTCATAATTTGACATTGCCATATTAGTGGAACGCCGTAAGGCAAAACGCCATAAAGTGGGGCCTTACTGTGTATATATATATATATATATATATATATATATTTTATAATATATATATATATATATATATATATATATTTATTTATTTATTTATTTATTTATTTATTAACAAGTAATACATTTTATAGATAATAAAAATAGCTTTGCATACAGAAATGGCACTACTAAATTCGAGGGCCCACTGTATATTTATATATATATATATACACACACACAGTGGACCCTCGACCAACGATATTAATCTGTTTCTGAGAGCTCATCGTTAGTCGAAATTATCGTTAGTCGAGTTAATTTTCCCCATAAGAAATAATGGAAATCAAATTAATCCGTTCCTGTCACCCCGAAGTATTGAAAAAAAAAATTTACCACATGAAATATTAATTTTAAAACACACAAACTGAAGAAGGCATGTATAATTACATGACACCTACCTTTATTGAAGAGCTGGTGATGATTGATGGGATGGGAGGAAGGGAGTGTGTGGATGGTGTTAGTGTTTAGATGGGGAATCCCCTTCCATTAGGACTTGAGGTGTCAAGTCCTTTTCCAGGGTTACTTCCCTTCTTCGTTTAATGCCACTAGGACCAGCTTGAGAGTCACTGGACCTCTGTCGCACAACATATCTGTCCACAGAGGCCTGTACCACTCGTTCCTTTATGACATTCCTAAAGTGTTTCACAACATTGTCGGTGTAATAGTCAACAGCACTGCTTGCAATAGCTGTGTGAGGGTGATTTTCATCAAAAAAGGTTTGCACTTTAAGCCGCATTGCACACATTTCCTTAATCTTTGAAGTAGACAACTTCTTCAGTTTCTCTATCCCCTCCTCTGGAGCAGTTTCCTCAGGTCTGGCCTCTTGCTGTTGAAGATGATCCAGAAGCTCATCAGTGGTTAGTCCATCATTGTCCTCCTCCACCAACTCTTCCACATCCTCCCCACTAACCTCCAACCCCAAGGACTTCCCCAATGCCACAATTGATTCCACAACTGGCATAGGCTTCTCAAATCCTTCAAAATCCCTTTTGTCTACACATTCTGGCCACAGTTTCTTCCAAGCAGAGTTCAAGGTCCTCTTAGTCACTTCCTCCCAAGCCTTACCTATAATGTTTACACAATTGAGGATGCTAAAGTGATCTCTGCAAAACTCTCTTAGAGTCAATTGAGTTTCTGAGGTCACTACAAAGCACTATTCAAACATAGTTTTTGTGTAGAGTTTTTTGAAGTTTGCAATGACCTGCTGGTCCATGGGCTGCAGGAGAGGAGTGGTATTAGGAGGCAAAAACTTGACCTTGTTGAAGCTCATGTCCCCAGAAAGTCACTCTGCCAAGTCTGAAGGATGACCAGGGGCATTGTCTAATACCAGGAGGCACTTAAGGTCCAATTTATTTTCCAGGAGGTAATTTTTCACAGTGGGGGCAAATGCATGGTGTAACCAGTCATAGAAAACGTCCCTAGTGACCCATGCCTTACTGTTTGCCCTCCACAGCACACACAAATTAGCCTTGAGGACATTGTTTTTCCTGAACACTCTGGGAGTTTCAGAGTGATACACCAATAAAGGCTTCACTTTGCAATCACCACTAGCATTAACACACATCAACAGGGTAAGCCTGTCTTTCATAGGCTTATGTCCTGGGAGTGCCTTTTCCTCCTGAGTAATGTAGGTCCTGCTTGGCATTTTCTTCCAAAACAGGCCTGTTTTGTCACAATTAAACACTTGATCAGGTTTCAATTCTTCACTGTCTATGTACTCCTTGAATTCCTGCACATGTTTTTCAGCTGCTTTTTGGTCCAAACTGGCAGCCTCACCATGCCTTATCACACTAACACTATGTATGCCACTACGATTCTTAAATCTCTCAAACCAACCTTTGCTGGCCTTAAATTCACTCACATCACCAGTAGTTGCAGGCATTTTTCTAATTAAATCGTCATGCAACTTCCTAGCCTTTTCACTAATGATCGCTTGAGAGATGCTATCTTCTGCTATCTGTTTTTCGTTTATCCACACCAATAACAGTCTCTCAACATCTTCTATCACTTGCGATCTCAGTTTCGAAAACATAGTTGCACCTTTGGCAAGAACAGCTTCCTTGATTGCCGTTTTCTTTGCCACAATAGTAGCGATGGTTGATTGGGGTTTTGTGTACAACCTGTCCAGCTCGGAGACACTAACTCCACTTTCATATTTAGCAATGATCTCTTTCTTCATATCCATAGTAATTCTCACCCTTTTCACTATAGGGTTGGCACTAGAAGCTTTCGTGGGGCCCATGGTGACTTATTTTGCAGGTGCAATCACTAAAAACGCTGTGATAATATGAGATGTTCCAATTGTATGTTTGGATGCGATCGCAGTGATTGGCTGGCTTGTAAACACTGGCACCCACGCGACAAGTGAGGCGTGCTCAGGCCACATGTGGACGCGTCTCGAATACAACGAATCACATTGGTCGAGTGTTTTAGCGCTCGTCGAGGCAAAATTTTTGCATTAAAATGTATCGCTAGTTGGATTTAACATTATACGATGTCATCATTGGTCGAGAGTCCACTGTATTTTTTTCAAAATACTTGGAGTGCTGGGTGAAAGAACATAGATCTACGTTTGGACAGTTAACGGGTTAATATTTTTAAGAGCTGCTCATTAACAACTCTATTGCTTAGCACAGATGAAAACTAAAATTACAATGTGCTGTTCATTGACAGAAATAATTTGAATGGCCACTCTTTCCCAGACATTTAATGGATGGAGACATTGTGTTGCTCAACCGTCAGCCGTCCTTACACAAGATGAGCATCATGTCACATAGGGTGCACGTGTTACCAGGGAAAACATTCAGGTTTAATGAGTGCGTGTGCACCCCATACAATGCTGATTTTGATGGAGATGAAATGAACCTACATTTACCACAGACTGAGGAGGCTCGGGCAGAGGCGTTGCAGCTGATGGAGGTGAGTAATGTGGCTCAAGTTGTAGTCCCTCTTATTGCATGTTGTATAAGCATTCTATAAAGTATTTTCAACTATGGCATACATTTGCGGTTTGTACATTTTTGTGGTATACCTCTGATATACCTTTGAAGAGTTCCGAGAGTTTATCTACTCTCTGAGCCCGGCCATGGGCCAGGTTCATCTGGTGCTTGCTTGGTCAACCAGGCTGTTGCTGCTGGAGGCCCACTGCCCCACATATCCATCACAGTCTGATTGATCTGGCACCTGGTGAAGATACTTGTCATCCATGAATTGTATAAAGTTAACTTGTACACACAAAAACTGTTCCAGTCTCTCTAGCTTTGTGGAAACTTTTTGTGAATTTATTTAGGTGTGATATACAGTGGAACCTTGACTTACGAGTCTCCCAACTTACGAGTTTTTTGAGATACGAGCCATCCTTGGGTCTATTTTTTGCTCTAAGTTACAGGCCAACATTTGAGTTAGGAGCCAGCTCCCCCCCCCTCACCCTTCAACCCAAAACCTGGACACCTTGCTTGTTTATCTGTGATTTTATGCTTTAATTCCATATAAATCATTGTCTTTTTCTTCTCAGCAATAATAATAATATAATGTTATTAGTCAAGTCACTCAGTAAGTCAGTCAAGTCATTCAGTATGTCAGTCAGTCAAGTCAGTCAGTCAGTCAAGTCATTCAGTCAGTCAAGTCATTCAATCAGTCAAGTCATTCAGTAAGTCAGTCAAGTCATTAAGTCAGTCAAGTCATTCAGTCATTCAATCAGTCAAGTCAGTCAGTCAGTCAAGTCAATCAGTCAGTAAAGTCTTTCAGTCAGTCAAGTCATTCAGTCAGTCAAGTCATTCAGTAAGTCAGTCAAGTCATTAAGTCAGTCAAGTCATTCAGTAAGTCAGTCAAGTCATTCAGTAAGTCAGTCAAGTCATTCAGTAAGTCAGTCAAGTCACTCAGTAAGTCAGTCAAGTCATTCAGTAAGTCAAGTCACTCAGTAAGTCAGTCATGTCACTCAGTAAGTCAGTCATATCACTCAGTAAGTCAGTCATGTCACTTAGTAAGTCAGTCAAGTCATTCAATAAGTCAGTCATGTCACTTAGTAAGTCAGTCAAGTCATTCAGTAAGTCAGTCATGTCACTCAGTAAGTCAGTCAAGTCATTAAGTCAGTCAAGTCATTCATTAAGTCAGTCATGTCACTCAGTAAGTCAGTCAAGTCATTAAGTCAGTCAAGTCATTTAGTAAGTCAGTCAAGTCACTCAGTAAGTCAGTCAAGTCACTCAGTAAGTCAGTCAAGTCACTCAGTAAGTCAAGTCACTCAGTAAGTCATTCACTCAAGTCACTCAGTAAGTTAGTCACACAAACTCATGTTAACCTCTTTTTCTGTGTACAAAGTAACACTTCAGTTACGGCTACAGGTTATCTCTTGTCTAATATCTTTGTTAACCCTTTCAGGGTCCAAGGCCAAAATCTGAAGTCATGCACCAGTGTCCAAGAAATTTTGAAAAAAAAAAAAAAAAAAAATTTCTTACAGAATTAAAGAGCATATTTTTGTGAAGGTAATAAAACAAAAAAAATTAGAATCTGATCAGTACTTACCAAGATACAGTGCCAAGAAGTTTATAGAAAATGATGTGGTGGTGGCAACATCGACGAATTCCACATACGCGTATTATATTATTTTGTTGTTTTAGTTGTTTTTTCTTTTCTTTTCCAATTTTTTTCTATTCCTACTAACATTTGGGGCCTGAGAGACCAATACTGTATATAATTGATATATATAAACTCACTGTATTGAACACAATAACCGCACTAAAGTTATTATCATATTATTGTTTACCACTGTTGTTTATTACAATAAACATGCACAAAATATTGTAAAAATAAAGTTCTATCTATTTTAAATATTACAATCCGGGACAGGTTTTTAGAACTGCGGGGAGCTTGGGGAACTCTTGAAACAAGGCACCTGCACAAGGCCCCTTACTTCCTCCACATAAACGGTGTCTTTGCTCTTTGGGGCCCTCGTTTTTTTTTGTGCACGACAATGCATCTCTTTGAGCAAATTTTTTTTGATTTTGAAGAAGCTGTATTTAAATGATTTTTTAAAAAACGTTTGGGTATATCCTGGGGAATTCAGGACCCATGTTGTATTGCAGGGTTTTACCTGGTACTTCATTATATTTTGTCTGACACAGACAAAAAAAATTCACCTACGGGGGTCTGTTACCATTTATTTGGTAATATATATGCATTCAGCATTGAAATGTCCAGGGAATGAGAAAATTTCATGTACCACTTGTAACTCTTACGAACACATCAAAAAAACCCAAATTGCAGTCACACTGTCAACCAAAGCGCATTTTTTGTGTATAATCAACACGACCGGGTTTTCGAATACGTTCATTATCATTTAAATCAATTTTTCCACTGTCTTGCTTTTTCATTACGGTAAAGGGTTGTCAACAATGGACATCTCGTTTGTCAGCCCCCAAAAATGCCATATGTCTTTGGGCAGTAAACACCTCCCCGTCATCCCCACGAACACCTGCGTAAACCGGGGCATATGTTTACGTTTAGAACGCACTGTCCACCACATCTGTCTTGTTCACTCGCATAAAATCACTGAGTAATGGCTTTTTACCTTTTATCGGTATATAATATATGGCCCTTAAGATAAGGTCCATCAGTTTTCTCATACGTCCCCTGAGATACCCAATAACATCTTGGTATCTTTCAATGTTTCTCCCCGTATACAAACAATATCCAAACCAGGCCACTGTCACAATCAAGAGTAAAACAATTTTATACCAAAGGGGTTCCTCTGCCGGTTAACGCTTAAAATGACATTCACCTTTTGAACAAAATCAAAGACTCACAATAAAGATTCTTAATGGAAAAAAGTATACCTAATTTTTGTTTGAGATACTGAAACATTTTTTTTTTTTTTAAAACCCTTCCTTCGTCGCCGGGTTTTGTCAGAAATGCAACATACGTAACAAAAGGAAAACCGTTCACGGTTTTTTTCACTGAAGGAGGGGGGTAGAAATTACCCGATCGTGGACCATTTTGTTTTTATATTATGCTTTAGCGTAGGCAAAGCATTTTTGTTCCCAAAAAGCAAATACTTCTGCAACATCGTCCTTTCCCCCTGGTTTTTTGACGTGTGTAAGATCTATTTGCCATGGGTACTGAAAACTTATTATTTTCCCTGGCAATAATTTCCATCAGTGGCTGGTCAAAGAATAATTCAAAAAAATTTTCCAGTTTTTGGCCTGGTTCCAAGGGACGGTAGGTAAAATTTCCCCTTTTGGAGTATCAAAGGGTGAGGTTTGGGGAACAAAATTTTGGGTTTTTTGCTGCCAATCCCCACTATGGTTTTGTTGGATACTGGCACAAGGTGGTTGTACGGGGGGTTGGGGGCTGGGGCTGACCGCCCGTTTTGCCCTTACGGAGATCAGCAGCGTGGGTTCCCCGCGTGGCACGGTGAGTCCGCATGGGGGTGCCACTACCACCACCAGCCCCAAAAAACCTCCACTGTGCCTGGGGCCCCACCTGCCAATGTGCCCACTCTCCTCACTTCATACCTAAAACGGGTGTAGGGGCCCCGGGTGTACTCTGGGGGACTCCGGGATGTCTCCGGGATGTACCCATCCCCGGGCACACTAGGGTACACTACCGAGGGATGCGGGGCGAACATACCGACGCCTTTTTGGTTTTAAAATTTTTTCCTCACTATCATACTGAAGATCGTCGAGCGCAATAAAATCACAATCCCCCTCGAATCATCGTCTTACTGAAGTAGAGGCTGGGCCCCCGCGAAAAAATTATTTTCTCTTACGTTTAGGAACACCCCCTGAGTCACGGGCCCACACCCGGTAGAAACGAGGATGTCGGGGTTTTCTGCACTATTACGATATCCTGGTCATTATTTCGGTCACTAAATTATCAAAACCGTAGAAACGTTTCATTTTCACTTCCCCATGTCAGAACTACAGACAGGAAAGGAAGGGCCCCCAAATTTTTCCGGGAGTGAGGCTGACTTGCGATGAGGGATGGTGAACAAGGTGACGACCGGGGTTCCCCCAAAAGCTATGCAGGCCCTAGTTTTTTTTTTCTCCCCCGGGGGGAAAAAACCATTCTCCACAGTAGGCCTATGAGCGTTTTGCCTAAATTTACGGCGCTAGAATTTTTCATGATCTTGGTTTGGAACCCCACCGAAAAAACCGTAGATTACGGGGCGGACCCCCAAAGGGTTAATTCTAACTTAAATGTTTTTCCTCTTATCCACTTTTCAGCAAAAATATATGGCACTGGTGTCATGATTGCTTGGGGAGGTACATGATATTAATTAAAATATATAACACAATTGACAAACCAGCTGCCTTTAGCAGAGAAACTGGACACATATGTTAGGAATTTTGGATGGTGGGGGTGGGGTCGGGGTGGTTGGGGGGTGGTGGGGGGATTTGGGGTGGTAGGGGATGGTGGGGGTTGTCGGTGATGGTAGGGGGTGAGGGGGGGGTCGGGGGGGTAGGGGATGGGGGTGGGTCGGGGGGGGTAGAGGGGTGGGGGGGTGTCCCGGGGGGTGGTAAAAAGGGTGGGGTGGGGGTGGGAGTGGGAGGGTTTGGGGGGGGGGTCAGGGGGTGTAGGGATGGGGGTGGTTCGGGGATGGTAGGGGGGGGGTGGGGGGGATGGGGGGGTTTGGGGGGGAGGGGGGGTTTGGGATGGTGGGGTGGGTCGGGGGGTGGGATGTGAGGGGTCCCCACTCCCCGCAACAAGGTGGCTGCTTGGCAAGAGCATTTATTTTTCCTTTCCCCGAACTGAACCCAAAAAAAATAATAATATTTTATTATTATTTTATTTTATTATTTTTAAATTTTTATAATGAAGAGCTTCATTCCCTAAATTAATAAAAATTTTTATTTTAAAAATAATGATAAAGCTTCAGTTTCCTAAATTAATAATAATAGTAATAATAATGCATAATACATATG